TACATGTGATACAGATCATTTTGAGCTCTTTCAAAGTTTCTTGTAGAAATGTTGTGTCGCTCACTGACCAATTTGACTTCCCCGACATATTAGCATCTAGTCAGGTGGAAATACGTCAGGTAGACGTAGGTCGCACATGCGCAGTCTGGTCAGTTTTCCACAGTCAGAATATAATGAAGAGATTAAGTGTTTACATGCACACTGTTCGGATTATGAATCGGCATAAACCACCAGTCTCATTCGGATTACAAATTCTTTCGGATGAAGCTGAATGAACAAAGAATAATCCGAATGGGACATTTACATGATGCATTTTTATTCCGAATGGCCATTTAATCTGATTACTTATGTCCATGTAAACATAGCTAAAACTAAGTCAGGACTGACGAAGTCCTTTGGATGCAGGAAGAAAAGTTTCATCAAGGGAAATAAAAGAAGAAAGAAACTGTGCAGATGACCTGATTTAACTTTGATTCATTTTTTTTTACCTGGATTATTGCGCATGACCTTTGATGTTTTGAACCACTTTGGCTAAGGCTGCCTCAGAGGAGTTGACAGGGGAGAGGGCGGGCGGGCGGGCTTCAGAAACCATCTTATCACCAGCAAACTGGTTGGTCCACTTTGTAAGTGAGCGGTTTATGGAACTGAGTTTGTTGTGGCACCTCGGACTGATGAAGTCCTTTGGATGAAGGACGAAATGCTTAAACAAACAAACAAAAGAAGAAACCATCCAGATGACCTGACTGAACTTTGTTTGATCTTTTCTTGTGTGTTTTCTAAGCCCAGTACGGCTGCCATCTTTAATTTGGATGACTCAAAATGTAAATCATTTGTGAAATGTACACCTAATGATTTATTTCAAAAGGTTTTGTAAAAATCTTTGTAATGGCTCATGAGATATTTTGCTAATAGATACATACACTTGACTCATATTTAATGGTAAAGTTTAATAACAGATCACAAGTGATCACTTGGAGTATTCTACATATTAGCATTATTAGTATGTGTGATGCTACCACATTAAATTTGAGCTCAATATCTCTAATAATAACAGGGATGGAGCCTCTTTTGTGGCAGTTCTGTCTAGCAATAATTTGCAACACACACGCGCACAGAAACAAGTCAAAACATTATTGTTACTTCTCCTTCAGCTGCGGGCGATAAACATGTCTTGCTGTAACCTCCCTAACGTTTAGTGCTGAGTAGCTGTGATGCAGAATACATGATGTTCTTTGTGCCGCAGCACCTTTTAAACTCTAATCATGTGTTATCTGCGCTCATCCTCGTCCCACACACACCTGTTTGTGAGCAGCTTCTTCACTGACAATCTCCAACAGCAGTGATAAGACACCAGAGAGGAGAGGAAGGTAGACCTGAGACGGCAAAGTATAATTTACAGATACACACACACACATACACACACACCACAAACAGGTTGTCTGCTCTGTATCAGGGACATGGCTTTGCTGCGATGCACCGGAGGCCGCAGTCTCCTGCTCTCTTGGCTCAGTATAAATACACCGCTCATTGTTTAAACAGCACAATGTGGCTTCAGGTTCCAGGGACCATCACTCTAGGTCTGGGTCAAACTGCCAGAAACACACACGCGCATACACACACTTGTGGAGGTGCACATGTGGCTGCACACACACATCCACACACACTCACACACACAAACATATTCAAGCTAATGCAAACCAGACTCCCTTCGTCCCTCTTTTCTTGGAGTGGGAGAGAGGGAGCGGCAGCAGGGAGACAGGACGGAGCTGGAGCTCGGCCAAATGGACCAGCGGAGCTTGTTTGGAAAGCTTTCAGTCAGAAAGCCACTTTTTGGCAGGGGCCCTGTGAGTGCTGCTGAGCTCTATGAAGCGGGCTGGAGCTGCTAAAATAAATAATGGTTAGAGCTGAGGGGGTAAGAGTTGTTGGTGGTGGGGGGCTATGAGGGTAGCAGGAGGAAAAAGGAGGGGAAGAAAGGGAGGGAGGTGAAGGATGGAGGGAGAAATGGCGGGGTGGGAGGGCTAGCGACCGCTCCTGTAATTATATCTGTCAGTCGACACCGAGGCACTTGGACCTCCGGCGCTCATGTTTCCCCCTCACTCGTTTGCTGCCACTATATGGAGGGAAGGAGGGCCTCTGCGTGTCTGCATGCGCATTTTTTATGAAAGCATCAGGGTGCATCTGTGAGCAGTTTTGTTTGCTCTCTGGGTGGTGTCCGAATGCACATGCTCAGATGTGCGAAAGGGGATTGTTCGACCTGTTAGGAAACAAACGTCGCTCTGGGAGGGGGAGATAATAAAGAGTTTTAGGGAGCAAAGTTGTGTCCTCTTCGTACGTCAGCTCAGAAAAAAAAATAATAGCCAAGAAGCACTGTATCATCATGGAGGTGGTGTCTCATCTGATCTGTGAGCAACAGTGGTGCAAGTTATTCAGGTTCTTCACACAAACAATATCTTCCTCTGCAGCAGTGGTTCTTCAACTTTCTCTGCCGTGCCCCCCTTTGGAGGAGGGTCATGACTCATGTCTATCCAGGTCACGCAGTGCAGGATTAAAGCCACTCTCCACACTGCCAGACTTTCAGCCAGTCCAACACAAAAACAAGTCCGAATAGCAACAGTGTCGATACATGAACTTTGCTTGCAATTTTAATGCCGGAAAATTAAAATTAAACAAAAATTGAAGTTGGCGTGGCATCCCTGAGATGACTCTGTACAATCATCCACACACTCAGGCGGTTGTACTTCGTCAGGCGGCTGAGACGAGCTGGACTGGGAAGCTCAGTCCTCACCTCCTTCTACAGGTGTGCAGTGGAGAGCATCCTGTGCTCCAGCATCAATGTGTGGCATGGAGGCTGCACAGCTGCAGAAAGAAAAGCTTTGCAGAGAGTGGTGAAGGCTGCACAGAAGTCTATTGGAGTCAGTCTCCCCACCATCACAGACATCTACACCTCCAGATGAAGGAAGAGGGCCATCTGCATCACGAAGGACCCCACTCACCCAGCACACACACTTTTTGCCCCACTCCCCTCAGGAAGGAGGTTGAGGAGCATTAAGTGTAGACCCACTAGACTGAGGAACGGCTTCTACCCTGAGACTGTTAAATTCATAAATCTCTAACCAGAATAATCACTGTGAAAAAAAATCACATCATGTTGCTGCTGATCTGTTTCATGTTGCTGCTGATCTGTTTCATGTTGCTGTGTTCATGCGTGCTCATCTGCTCACATAGACTCATGCTCATGTTTGTGCTGCTGCTCGACGTAATGCTTTTATGCTATTAGTGCTTAGTGTATTTTAGTTGATGTCTTTCTTAGTTCATATCTTAGATCTTAATACTGTTTTTCTTTTACATTTTATCATTGGATGTAACTGGGACCCTGTGTACAAAATTTTGCTCCACCACATGTACCACATGTGGTGTGAACGACAATAAAGAATCTCTGACTCCGACTGTGGCTGAGTGGTTAGAGCAGTCGTCCTCCAATGCGAGAATTGGTTTGATTCCGCCAGTAGTCACATGCCGAAGTGTCCCTGGACAAGACAGTGAACCTCTCATTGTCTCCGATGTGTGTCCCATCTAGAGCTGTCATATCTAACCCGGAGCCCGGCCCTGCCCGACCCAGATTAGGGCTGGTCCGGTCCATAATAATGTGTTTAATATGCGTCACGGGTCTGTGTCGGGCTTTTGATTGCGACAGCGGACGTGCGTGGCAGACGATCCAATTATATGGCAACATGGCTTGCCATACTATCATCTGCCACATGCAGCCATTGGACTGCACGCTGACCGGCCTTAAATGAGGTAAAAAGTTCAGTTAAGCTTCAGATAGACTTCTGTCTGTGATCCATCATCCCAAATGTACGTTCATTCAGCTGCTGCACTCAGCGACGACCTAAACAGGTGAGATCCCAAAATATCTGACATGTCAGAGCATGGTCCGTGTCTGAATAATGCAGAATGCAGGCAGAAGCAGGGATGTAATGTGCTTTGATGGCCATGAAAGGACAAACACCCCTCAGCTCCCATCCATCTTCTGCCCCCTTTACGCAGCCGTGCACGTCCACCAACCGTTAATAACTATATAAGCAGTCAAAGCTTAATTAAAAATGTCAGGGTTTTTTTCTTCAGGTTTGGACCTGTAATTACTGTTAATTTATCGGGTCGGGTGGGGCTCAGAAATGATGGCTACGGGCTGGGGCCGGGTTGGGTCGGATTTCTTGGACCCGAATGCAACTCTTGTCCCATTGGTGTATGAATGTGAAAAGCACTGATTATTCCTTGTATAGATCTAGTAGAGTGCTGTATGAATGGGTAAATGAGGGCACAGATTGTGTTGTAAAGCACTTTGAGTATCTTGATGAGATAAAAAGTTGCTATATAAATATACTGGGGGTTGTATCCAGCCATATGAGCTCAAAATGGAAATCAATAAAAACAAATGCTACTATGATTTTAAAGAAATTATATGATTCATTCAACAAAGTTAAGTCAGGTCCTCTGGACGGTTTCGCTTTTTGT